CCCCGGGGGCTGTATCTCCTCCTCCCCAGGGAGCAGGGCAGGGCACGGGGTCCCCCCCGAGAGCTGTGCGCCCACTGCGTGGGACTTTGGCAGCGGAGGCTGGCACAGGGCAGGGCAGCATCTGCAGCAGGCTCTGGGCTGCCCGCTGGCAGTAGAAAGCTGAGCTATTGGTAATTCCTCTCCCCTGCACCCTGAAGCGAGCAAGGAGTTCCCCTCGCCACCTGCATCCCCAGCCCTGGGCTCTCAGCATACATGAGCAGCTTATGCTCTGCCCGCAAGGAGCAGCCAGCAGCGGGAATCCCCCTTCCAGGCTTCCCCCTGCCCGCCTGGAGACCCCCCCGGCCAAAGGAGGGGCGGCTCTCCCGAGCATCGTCAGGGACAGGGACGCCCAGCAATGGGCATGGGGCTCTGCAGGGGCACTTTTGGATGACCAGAAAGCAGCCGTTCCCCCAGTACTGCTCCAGGATGCCATCCTGCCAGCCCCACTGCCCTCCCCAGATACCCAGGGAGGGACCTTCAGCCCTACCCCAGCCCCATGGGCATCCCCCACAGGACTTCTCCAGCGGTTTGCAACCACCAGCCCTACACCCCTGGGAGGTGCAGGGTCGCAAGCCCGGGGTGACAGGGCGTTTAGGATGGGCTACAGGCAAAGGATAAGGGTTTCCTCCTTCTCTACGTGTTTCTAATGGCTCCTTTGAGACCAGCCACACGACTCCCCGCTGGGAAGCCTCACTGAGCTGTAAGTACAGGGCTTTTTATTTGGACTGTTAATCTAAATCCATTGTACCTGGTTGGAAAAGCCCCTGTGTGCAGCACTCTCTGCACTTGCTGCATCCTCACTTGAATGTCTATTAGCATCTTCTTTCCCCTCTTTCTCTTAGAATAAATATACATAACTTCCATTTGAAAGCCTGTAAGAAAAAAATAGGTTGTCAAGGGAAACTCTTCCAGCATTTCTTACAGATATGCTTGATCTGTTTTTATATTTTTTACTGTCATAAATGAATATATCAAAGATTTTTTTTTTTTCTCCACAAGATACTTATTCATTTGAAAGCCCAACACCCAGCTCACACTGGCCTTGTGTAATTCTGATGGTTGTCTCCTTAAAATAGCTTACAGTGTATTCCAAAATTTGTCAGAAAGAGACTGGCTTTATCTGCTCTGTTTTTCCAACCATTCATAGAAATTTTGGGTTAAGTAAAGGAAAATTTTTCAAATTCATGTTATTGCAGGCAGGCACATTTGTATTCTCTGTCCATTGTGCTTTAAAATAAAAAAATGCCCAACCTTTCTAAAGTGAGCTGCTGTTTCCCAGCAGACCCCCTGCAAATGGGAGACGGGTGCATGCTTGGATGATCCAACGGGGAGATCACACCAGGTCCTATTTCAAACCCCAGTTTTGTTCTAAAACTGAGCTTAGCTAGCTGTGAAATGAGTAGGCAAAGGGGTTATAAAACTACTAATTGCTGCTTTAGATTCCTAGATGAGAGCTGTATGTGGGCAGAAATAATTTGCTCTGTTCAGAAGGGAACATCAGAACGGAACATCTCAGACAGTTCACGACCCTTCTCCTCGCTCTGCTTCCTGCCTGAGAGGGAGGGAGGGATTTCCCTGGGGTACAAAAGCTTGTAGGGTCTTGACACCCCCTGGGATTTTGCTGAGCTGGGAGGGAAGTGGGAGCCAGCTCCCTCCCGGCCCCGTGCCCCAGCCCAGGCCCCAAACCACCTTGCCTTTGATTTTGGTGACATTTGGCCCAGTGTCCTGGAGAGGGGAGAGGCTGAGGATGGGTGTGAGGTAAGCTGGATCCCACAGACACCCCCCCTCCCCAGCCCCCGTGTGTGTGTTCGTAGCCTGAATGTATGAGCATCCTTCTGGAAGGAACCTGGATTAGTCATCCCCACCCCACAGATGGGCTGTGTGATGTCTTCCCTGGAAAAGCTAATCTGTCACAGAAATTCCGATTTATCCCTGAAAAGGAGGGTTTACACCCCTTCTTCTCCCTTGCTTTTGTCTTTAGCATTGAAAAAGTTGATCCCTCTCTTTTTTTCCTCCCCTTTAAAAGGCAAGACAAGAGTCCATTAAGCTCTGAGGTTTATCACAAGCCGGTTGCCTCCTCCAGACACAGTGTGATGGGAAGCGCTGGCTCTGCGGTGCAAAGCCTGTGTCTTTAAGGAGCCCTGGCTGGGAGCAGCAGTGGAGTTAGCAGATGCCTTTGCTAGGCTATTTCACACAAATCTGGCATTTGCTGCACCCACAGCCCTGCTCAGCTTAAAAAACATACCTCTGGGGTTTATTTCTAACCATTTCTCCGGTACCTGTTCCACATCTAGATGTGAAAATGTCCCCCAGGGCCCTCCCAGCCTGACAAACCCTTTATGAGGCATTTCTCAGACACTGGAAAACAAGCAGAGTCCTCCCTCTGCTTCAGTGTTTGCCCCATAAACCCCATGAGGTGAGCAATGCAGGGCTGGGGTGCAGTGGGGTCTGCGGGGGGGTTCTCCTGTGCAGTGGGGGGACCCAGCTCATGTCACTGACCTGACCTTGGCCCTTGGTGGCTGCTGTCAGACCAGAGTGTCCTGTGCAGGGTGTGGTGGCACCTTGGCATCTCTGTGGGGGCTCCTGCAGCCTCTTCCCTCAGCTTCTGCTGCCTGGCTGCTGCCTCTGTCCCTGTGTCACCAAAAAGCTGGAAAACTTCAGGGGGTGACAAAAGGCAGGGAAGATGAGTTTTTTTCCTAATAAGCCATTGGCTGATGAGAACCAGACAGGGAAGCCTTCGGGATGGGAGACAGGCCAGCCTGAAGGTCACAAATGCCTCAGCGACCACGGCAGCAAAAGCATCAGTGGCTGCAGATGTGTTGGCACCCTGGAAGTGTGAACACAACTCAGGAGCAAGTCACACCTAATAGTGGGATTTTCCCAAACTGGCCAAAGCACGGGGGAAAATGCAATCCCTCAACCAAGAGAGCAAATGCAGCGTCCCTCCCAAGGACACCCAGCACCCCCACGTTGGGAGTGGGGGGACCGTGTGGGTAGGAGGCTGCTCTGCACGTCCCAGGGTGTTTTGATGAATAGGGTAGGTGGAGGAACCTGGATTCAATATGACAAACCTTTTCATTTGCCTTTTTATTCTGAGCTTCTGGTCAAGGCAGGTAAATGCATTTGAAGGTGTGGGAACGCTTCTCTTGGTTAGCTGCTTTAGCTGCTGCTCATTAGAAAACTGAATTTCTGCTGGATGAGGAAGACCAGCTCCCTGAAAATTCTAAAATCCTGAAACACAATAGAAATCACAACTTTGGGTTTATTTCCCTACCAATGTAGAGATTTTTAATTCAGAGTCATCAATACCTTTGAATCATGTTTTTGTTATGTTTCAACATTATAGAAATAATCTTAATATTTTGCATGACAGAACACACAAGAGGAAACAAAGCAGGGAGATGAATTGTTTTGACACTTCTTCCACTGAAATTCTCCTTAAAACTGACACCTTCTGTGAAAACACTTTGATTTTGGCAAAACTGCCTTTGCTGCTGGGAAGATTGCACCATCTAAGGACTTTTTGACCAGGTCTAATTAGCAACGTAGGTAGCAGAGCTACAAAGCTCTCTGGCAGAATCACTGTGGTGTGATTTGACGTGGGCTATTTTTTCCACTGGGGAGGCTCTTTGGGGGATAAATCCTCTCTTCAGTGACTAATTACCTGTTTGAACAAAGAAAGCCCCATGGATGAGGTGCTGGAGGTGCAGTAAACTGCCTTCCTCAGGCTGTTAGTGTAAAGGGAGAAGCTTTAAGAGGTAAAATAAGCAAGGAAAAGTTTCACCTGGAAAAATAATTAGCTTCTTTTTTTTCCCTTCCATACCACCAAAGAACAATTGCCCAAAGCTGTTTCGCTCCCCTCCCCTCTCCCTGCTCCTCACTTCTCAAAAGGCAAACATTCCTCCTCACTCCCCAGGGTGCCCCTGCCCCCCCTGCCCCAGGGGCTCCCGGAAGGAGGGGAGCCCAGTGGCCCCTCCAGCCCCGCTGTGTCTCGCCCGCAGGTGGAACCAGCTCCCACTCTGCTGATCATGGTCAACAAGACCTTAAATTACTGGGGTCCCGGTTTCGAGGAGGACGTTATCAACATCAACGTGGGGGGGCTGAGAAGGCGGCTCAGCTCCAGCGCCCTCTCCAAGTTCCCTGACACGCGCCTGGGGCGCCTGCTGTCCTGCGACTCGGAGGAGTCCATCCTGCAGCTCTGCGATGACTACGACGTGAGCGCCAGGGAGTTCTACTTTGACCGAAACCCGGGCTTCTTCCTCTACGTGCTCCACTTCTACCAGACGGGGAAGCTGCACGTCATGGAGGAGCTGTGCGTCTTCTCCTTCTGCCAGGAGATCGAGTACTGGGGCATCAACGAGTTCTTCCTGGACTCCTGCTGCAGCTACCGCTACCACGAGCGCAAGCTGGAGAGCCGGCACCACGCCTGGGACGAGGAGAGCGAGGTGAGCAGCGTGGACACGTCCCCCGACGAGATCTCGGACATCAACCACGACCTGCTGCGCTACAGCACGCTGCGCTGCGGCAGCCTGCGCAGGCGCCTCTGGCTCACCATGGAGAACCCCGGCTACTCCATCCCCAGCAAGCTCTTCAGCTTCGTGTCCATCAGCGTGGTGCTGGTTTCCATAGCCACCATGTGCATCCACAGCATGCCCGAGTACCAGGAGGTGGATGAGAACGGCAACGTGCTCGATGAACCCATCCTGCACAAGCTGGAGTATTTCTGCATCTCCTGGTTCACCTTCGAAGTGTCTTCCCGCCTCCTGCTCTCCCCCAGCCCCAGGAAGTTCTTCAAGCACCCACTGAACCTGATTGACATTGTCTCGGTGCTGCCTTTCTACTTCACCCTCTTGGTGGACTTGACCGTGGGCAGTGACTCGGAACTGGGCAACCTGGGCAAGGTCGTGCAGGTGTTTCGGCTCATGAGGATATTCCGGGTGCTGAAGCTGGCTCGGCACTCCACTGGGCTGAGGTCCTTGGGGGCCACCTTGAAGGTAAACCAGCTCTCTATCTATCTCCTTACCTACTCTTAGTCTCTGGGTAAGAAGGAGGCGTCTGGTACAGCCAGGGGATGTGGACATTCACATTCCTGGTGAGCTACCAGCTCTGGACGGCTTGCTTGGGGTGGTGGGCTGGTCTGGTTTGTGTGTCTCCTAAAGCAAGCAAGGGTGAGGAGCACTGCGTGAGTCCTCTCTGTACACACAGAGCAGACAGCAATTCACCCCGTTGCTTGTAGATTTTCATTTATGCAGCACTGGTGCTTGCAGGGACTCAGCCACCCCTTCCCCACCGTGGTGTACAAACCTCACTGCACGGCACTGGAATGGACTCAGCCGTGCACAGGTAGATGGTGATGTCCCACCAGAAGAGGGTCAGTGCCCAGCTGGGCTGCAGGCACCCTGCTGAGCAGGGACCAGGCCAGCCAGCAACTGCTGGGTGTGCCAGCACCAGGGGGTGTGGCTCAGAGCTGCTCCTATCCCCAGCATGGGAGAAGGGGCAGGCTCCTAAAGGCGTGCTGCCAGCTGGCTGGAGGCCAGCATCCAACCCTTGGTGTCTGCCCGTCTAGGGAGACATAGGGATGCTGGTCCAGTCGAGCTGACACTCAGATGCTCCAGTGTATGATGAGGTTGTGATTGGCACACAGTTAGCCACGGGTAGTGCAGAACAGCAGTAGAAAAACAAAGAGTTAGCTGCAGGGCCTGTGTCCCCAGCAGAGCCTGGGCTACCAGCAACTGCCCCTCCGCATGCTGGAAAAGCTCAGGAAAAGCCCAGGACCACATGCTCCTCAGGAGGAAGAGCTGGATGAGGAGATGCTGAGACAGCAAAGGACCAGGCATGCAGGTTTGGTGAGAGGAGGTCCTCATCCTCCATGGCATGCCCCAAGGCTATGTCTTTCCAGATCCCCTCTGCAGCACCCCCAGCCTCCATGGACAGCCCAAGAGCAGCTGAAACATGACTCAAAGTATAAAGCTATCATGAAATCCTCACCGGCCTGGTGCTGCAGGCCAGACCTCCATTGTTGCAGCTTGGCTGCACAGCATGGACCATCCACAGTGCGCTGCATGGTTCCCTGCTCTCCCCCACCATCCATCCCTCCTCCATCCCCCTCATGGTGAGGGATCTGGGGAGGGTGAAACTGTCTCCTCACCTCCTGCACCTACACAGAAAGTCCAGCCCGATGCAGAGGACAGTTAAACCCAGCCTTTGATTATCACTGATTCTTGGCAACCACATCAAGAGAAAACCAAAAGCTGATCCTTGAGTCTGCCAAGGCACAGAGTGACACATGCTCTTGATGCCCCACCACATGCAGGGCTCATACTGGGCATGGGGAGGAGACCACCAGGGCAAACATCTCCTCTCCTTGTGGGACTGCCTCTGGTCCCCATGTTCAAACCAGAAGACTGTTTTGTCAAGCATTGCTTGTGCAAATAACCCCTGGGCTTTCACCCCTTTAAACAAACGGTGTGCCAGACAAATGGCCAAGAAAGCCATCATCATAGCAGAGCTTGGAATGCAACCCAAGGGATGATCTCCTCCCACTCAGCCCCTGGCAGGGGCCAGAGCTGCAGCTCCTCGTGCTGCTCCCACCAAAGGGCCATCACAGGGGTGAAGTGGGCACAGCTGCCCCTGGGGACACCCTGTTTCTCACGGCAGGGCTGGCTTCCAGGGTTGGACCTATTCCCATGGGTGAGCCATGGAGAGAAACAACCCATGAGTGTAGCTGGGCATGAGGTTGGGCAGCAGGACAGGTCTTCTGCCAACTTCTGCTGTGAAGCAGCACCTGCCTAGCCCAGCACTGATCCTATAAAGACCAGAACACCAGAATAAATCGAGGGGGAGAAAGTTCCTGGCATCCTCAAAGCCTGCTGAAAACAGGGTCCAGGGAGAACTGTTTGAAATGAAGATACCTAAAGTCCTACGTGCCTCATACTCACTTCTGAAGACTCACCCCGAGAGCGATTAGCAAGTGACAGAGCCACGTAACTGTGCTAGCAGAGTTTAAACACAACTGTACACCTGAGCAGGGCACCTGAGCCCTTCCTGCGCTCCGGCTGAGCGTGACCAAGACGTTGCAGCAGGGTGGGGACAGATGTGTCCTCTGCACGTTATTAAGCACCAGAGGGGATCCCAACTCCAGCCACAGGTTCCCCAAACGACGTGCTTGAGGGTGCTGCTTCCAGGGACTCCAGAGCCAGCTGCACATGGGGCTGAGCAGAGACACAAACCTGACGGAGCAGCCTGGCGCTGAGTTACTGGGCACATAAATTACAACGTCTTGCTAATCGTGGTTTACTTCCTGTTGCAAGGGCATAAAGCAGCAGCAGCAGCAGCAGGGCAAAGGCTGTCAGCAGCCAGGGAGAGGGAGGGATGGCTCTGGCAAGGCGAGTCATTGTTCCCCCGCCACAAAAGTGCTAGCAGAGGGATTCCTGCCATTGGTGCCTCATAAACTCTGAACGGTCTTCAGATTGCTTGGAGCCTGATCCAGGGTCTATTTAATTTGAGGTGAGGCTTCCCACACGTCTCTGCTCTTCCTGCCCACTGTGCACAACATCCGTCACTGTTACTGCAGCTTCCCGGGTGTGGGTTTGGGGCCCAGCCCCCACCAGCAGTCAATAGGTGTTAGGCACGGAGTGATTTAGGCATCTGCAGGGTTCCACAGGAGTTGTTGTTTGTCCCCAGAGGGGCCTAACTAAATACACCAATATCTTGGAACAGCCAGAGCTGCACATCCCCACACAGCAGATGCATCATCCTCCTGTTGCTACCAGTCTTTGTGCCCATCTCCAAGCTGGTCTCTCCAGACAGGTTCAAAACAGGCTCTTCCACTCCATTTGTCTTCTGCTGTACTGGAGGAAAGATGTGCATTTGATGAGGGATGGAGCCCATGCATGGCCCATGGCTGTCCCAAGGGTAGGGCCCAGAGGCTGCTGCTGAGGTGGCTGTTTCCCTGGAGCCTTCTCATACCCAGCACCACCTCCTCCAAGGCTGGCTGCTTGCTAAGTCTGCATCTCACCCAAACCCTGGCTAAACCTGCATCCCCCCAAACCCCAGGCACAGCTGCCTGCCCTGTCTAAGTGAGCAAACCACACATTTTGGGGATAAATGGCTGCAAATAGGTGGCAGCTGGTGCCTGGGGATCAGCTGGGAGACTCCTCCAGCCTCCCCTGTGCCACACACCCTGACCCTGCTTGTAAATTAAAGCAGTAGGAGCTACTGAACTGCCCGACCTCCCCCTAGTCTTCACCCTCCAACACACCCCAGGGCCACAACTGAGACTCTTTAAAAATGTATAAGGTTATTTGGCTCTGCTGCTCCCCAGCTGGGACACACAAACCTGCGAAGCTCCAGCCAGGAGCAAGTCTTTCATGGCCAGGTGATACATCCTTGAGACTGGGTGGCTCTGAGCTGCTTGTCCTTCTCAAGCTGCTCCCTTGGAGCTGCTACAGGGCATTTGCAGCCACAGGCAATGACGGAGGAGGAGGAGGAAGAGGAGGAGGAGATTATTTCCCCTCGGTATCACTGACATTAGCTGACAGCCTTTGCCAGCAGTCTAAGCAAAATGTTCTTGCTCCCTGCCACAAATCCACCTTCTTTGTGTCTCCTGTTGACCACAGAAGCTCTTTTCCCACATCTTCTGCTGTTTGCTTTGCTCAAATGTTGTTTCATTTAGTCATTCTGTGGTCTCCAGTAAAGCATTCTCTGCATGTTAGGAAAGCCCCCCATGATCAGAGCTCTGCCTTCCTTCCCCCAGAAGATGAAGAGTAAGCTGGCAGGTCAGTGGGCAGAAAGATCCAAGAAATTCATTTGTGACAGTCACAAAGAGAGTGGCCAGCTGTGCTGTGAGGGTGGCCGTGGCTTTGGCACTGGTGGGAGGGTCGCCTGGCCCTGCTGGAACCCAGAGGCTCTGTGGTGTCCCCCAGGTCTGCCAGGCTTTAGGAGCAGGCTGTGCTGGGGTTCCCTGGCCCCACTGCCCACCGGGCGCTTCGTTCAGCCCTCTCCAGCCACGGGACAGGGGTGGGACCCATAGGCAGGGACACCTCCCACCTCCCACTAGACCAGGCTGCTCAAAGCCCCATCCAGCCTGGCCTCCAACCCTTCTGGGGAGGGGGCATCCACAATTCTCGGGGCAGCCTGTTATGTTCTAGTTTGAAGCCAGAGAAAAGATGGCTTCTTCAAGGAGTGTTGCACACCTCTGCCATCAGTCTGTCCCCCCAGGTCCTGCATGCCCACTGGGGAAGTTGAGTGTCCCACAGCCCCATTCCTGCCAGGGCTTCCAGACCCCTCGGGCTGGGGCTCATCAAACCAGGGGGTGCAGCACCCTGTGGGGATAGGTGCTAAGACCAGACCATGCTGACAGTGGGTGGATCTCTGGGCTGACCTGATGACCAGGGCTGCTTGGGTTCATGTCAGCTCAGGTTCACTTTGAGCATCCCATGGAGGAGCAGCAAAACCTGAAAGGAAATGCAATTCTCTCAGAAAAAGTAATTTCTGCAAGAAAACTGCCCTCTGTGTAGGTAACAAAGGGTTAAAAGGATGCTGGGACTGTAGATGGTGTTGGGGTCTGGAAGGGATCACATCCTTGGGTCTCTGGTTTTGGGGTCCCCAGCAGCTGGGGAGCTGGGGCTGAGCCTGCAGCAGAGGCACACGTGCCCCCTGCAAGCACATCGCCAGCGTCGGGGGAAGAGAGAAATCACTTCACTTAGAGGCTGCCTATTAGGTGGTTTCTGGGGACCTGCCAGGATAAAAGGAAAATGTGTCTAAATATTGTTAGCTGAGGTCAGGGGGAGCGAGTGCCTGAGGCA